CGATTCTCATATTTGCCCCCCGGTGTGCATCACTGACTGACAGTAGCTCTTCGAAAAAGAGCGAACGTAGCGTGCTCACTGCACAATTCAACATTGGACACGTATCTAGACAGCGTGCTGGACCAGATACATTCGAAACAATTGTCAATGAGCATTTTGAATGTACTTGGACCATCGTTAGATCCAAATACACTCAGAATGTTGACCAGTGGAACAAGGCGCTGAGGTTCGTTCATCATAATTTACGGTACAACCCGTGTTCGACCGAATACAAAGTCCGGTCATTATAGCTGTATATGGGCCAATTTTGCGTCTAGATACAGCTATAATGACCGTACGTTGTATTCGGGTGACGACAGGTAGTCAAAACGTTTTTGAGTCCTTTGACACGCATAAATCGAGAAATGGTCCAAATTTTTAAAAACGCATTATTCCTGTATTTGGTGTGTGTATGTTTCTTCAAACTAGGAACGCTCCAACAACCATCAAAGAGAGGGAAACAGAGAAGAGGAGAGAAGAAGATGATGAACAGGAGGGAGGAGGAACAGGAGAGAGGGAAAGGAGAGGAAGAAAAGAGAGTGAAAGCTCGAAGAGAACCACGGTGATAACTCCGGGTCGAATTGTGAGGTCCCCGGCCTCTTTTCTGCTTGAAATAAATGATTTTCTGTGCAAAAAAAAAAACGAAAAAAAAAAAACCCGAACGCGACTTGCCCAGTGGCCGTGTCCCGCTAGCAAAGAGGATCGAATTAGGAGCCTGAATCTGGATATGTTATTGGCGCAGATGCAGAAAAGCAGATCAGTCACGGTTTTCTGCATGTCCCCTCATACGCGTCCAGATTCAGGCATTTCAAGCCAATCCTCTTTGCTGGTGGGACCTCGCCCCAGATCAAAATACATCGATAATGTCGCCTTCTGGTCTAAATGGCGCTAGAACGGTAGTGTCCAAGGCAAAAGTAACATCTACTACGGGAGCGAGGTCCCACTGGCAAAGACGATTGGATTAAGCTCCTGAATCTGGACGTGTTTTAAGCAGAGATGCAGAAAAGCAGTTCAATCTCGAGTTTCTGCACCCTTTGCACGAGCACGTCCAGATTCAGGCGTTCGATCCGATCCTCTTTGCTAGGTAAGGGGACCAAAAAAAAAAAAAAAAAAAAGAGGGAAGGAGAACCCGCAGAGAGCTCCCGCATAATGAGATGGTGACTTAGTAGAGGTCATCCGCAAACATTGTCTACACGTTCTCTCGGCTGAGAAGTTGACCATAATTGCGGTCACAAACATCCATTACAATTGATGAAACTGAGCATTTGACCGTAATTGCGGTCAAAAACATCCCCTAAAACTGATGGGCTGAAATATTGGCCGTAGTTGTCGTCACAAACATCCATTCGAATTGATGAAACTCAGAAAAAATTGACCGTCGTTGCAGTCAGAAACATCTATTGATGAAACTGAGAATCTGACCGGAATTGCGGTCACAAACATCCGTTTCAATTTCAGAAAAAGGGCCTCGCTCCACTACTCTCCACACGCACAACGCACAAAAAATGTGGCAATGTATCTGTCGGTGTTCTGGCGGAGGATTCAGTCTCATTTTGCACATTTGGAGAGTACCAATTAACAATTGACCAACTGGCCTATACCTTCTTCCCCCGAATACAACGTGCGGTCATTATAGCTGTATTTGAGACATCTTTCTGTCTAGATACAGCCATAATGACCCTACTTTGTATTCGGCGGTAGAAGGTAGCCCAGTTGGTACCCCCCACTTACTGTTCAAATACAGACCCCCCGAGTTCGAACTCCACTGAGAAAGCAGATGAGTGAAATAGACCAAATTAAAAAAAAAAAAAAAAAAAAA